AAAACTCCTTTTATTTTTTAAAACTGCAGCTCGAAGCAGGAAGTATGTTATAAATAATCATAACTCCATGAGTACTGGTGACACAGCCTGAAGCCTGGCTCTTCAGATCCCAGCATCCTCCTTATATAACACAGTGTTTACATTAGCCACTGCAAAGCCTTTATTGCTCTCCGGGAAATTTTTGAGGCTTTCCTGGGTTTCTGCTGCCTGCAGTCTGGGTGTTAAAGTTGACTCAAGCATTTCAGATTCCTAATTGAACGGACCTCTGAGGTCACCGCTCGCAGGTCATCATTTGACAGTATCAGGGTGTGATTTGTGGTCTCTGGAGACACTGAAGTATCCATTCTTAAATTCTAGGTTATAGTGGCAGCAGCTGTGCCACTTTCCTGAGATGCCTTATTATGGTTCATTCACAACGTTACTTTGCTTCCTCGCCGGGGTTCGCACCAGCCCTCCCGAGGTTCTTAGGAGGCCGGTTTGACTCACAGATTTTTGGGTTTTGTTTTTTGCAGCTAAGAGAGACTTAACTCATGGATTCTTAAGTAGCAGCCTGTGTCCCTGGCTGGGTTTTGGAAAGCCCGTGAATCCCCTTAAGATAAATCCAGTATTATACATGCTTTTGAGTGGTCATTGTCAGCTAAGAGGGGACAGAGCTCTTATCAGATTCTCAGGTGGGATCTGGACCCAAAAAAGGTCAACCATGTTCTAAATCAATGTCTTCGGCTTCTGAAGAGGAGGGAGGCCCAGTGATTCTGAGTGCTTTATCCACCTCGTGCAGGTTATCGGTGGCCAAGCCAGGATTAGATTCTCAAATTTGATTATTTCTAGGCCAGCGTTTCCCACACACACTGCAAAATGATGATCAAGGAGAGTATGTTCTAACTAATGAAAAAGAAATTTAAGAAGCTAAGCGATGGTGAACCGATAACATTCAGTGCATTGTAAGAGCAATCCTGGCCTCCCATGCTTCCTAGCAAGGGACCGTCGAGCCTGCACCTCACTTCTGCTGCACCAGATAGACTCAGCATACTCACATTCCCAGGCGGGCAGGAAAGCCACATTCCAAACCCAGAGATTTGTATCCCTGATTTAGTGGAGCTCTTGAAGTGAATGAAGGCGTTTTCTTGTAACCTCAGAAAAATCTCTGTAGTGTTAATTCCTCTTAGATCTGTCTCCAAAAGGTACTGAGGATGGATTTTCTTTCTAAATAACCCCACAATGAGGTGGCATTTCACAGGCTTATTCTGATTCATAGAAAATCATTGCATAACTGATTCATTGAGCTAGATATCTGTGGAGGGAAGAGAGAAAGGAGCGTGTCTGCTTTCTTAATAAGAAGGATTGCGTCCTTTCCTGGCTCTGCCACTGGGGGCTTGATTTGACTTGTTATCTGAGCCTCAATTTCCACATCTGCGAAATGAAGGTATTGAATTAGGTAACCTTCAGTCTACGCATTTAACCTATTAATTGCTGTTATGTTGTATACTGCTATACAACCCAATTATGCAGCACAAAATACGTTGTATACAGTTGCTGTAGCTGTGTAGTGTCGGTGTACTTTTTTTTGAAGGTAAATAAGGTGTTATCTGTGCAGCTTGGGATGGGTCACTTTCAAATTTTGCCTTAATTTTTCTATAAACACAGGGGATTGGGATAGAGAGAAAAAAATCATAAACTTATTTGTGATTTGTTTTGCGTCATTGTGTATACCGTTTGTGTAATACAGTACACAACTTGTGATACACAACTTGTGTATTGTATTACATCTGGCTGAGCATTCTGACCTTCGTTTTCTCATATAATCCTCCCGACACGGTGAGTCAATCACTTGCCCTTTTGCACATGAGGACTCGGAGGCTCAGAGAGGTCAAGCGAGTTATTCAATGCCACACAGCTGGTAGGCAAGGCCAGTGTGGTCTGGGTCCAAGTTTGGCCCACGTCTATGGGAGGCATCCACATTCTGTGGCTCGGTGGTACAGGATTTGGTTGTACTCTGACTCTTGGTCTTTTTGTTCATCCTGCCGTAGGTGTTTGATATCAGCAGCTACCAGGAGTCCCTGGCCCCCTGCTTTTGCCTGTCTGCCCACAGCAACATCAACCAAATCACCGAAATCATCCTGGGGGAGACGAAAGCTTATGTGTTCTTTGAGCGCAGCTATGGGGACATGCATTCCTTCGTTCGCACCTGCAAGAAGCTGAAGGAGGAGGAAGCGGCCAGGCTGTTCTACCAGATCGCCTCAGCGGTGGCCCACTGCCACGACGGGGGGCTGGTGCTGCGCGACCTCAAGCTGCGGAAATTTATCTTTAAGGACGAAGAAAGGTGAGTCTCGTTCCTGTCCAGGCCCGTGTACTATAGCAGGCTGCTCAGAGAGGTTGGAGTGGACGTTGTGTTTTGCTGCCTGCCGTCCAGGAGAGGAGGAGGGAGCGTGGAAAGACAAAGGGAGGCGGGTATCGCAGTGTTTGAAGTGCCCTTAGAAAGCAAATTGCCGCTCCTCTAAGAGATGTTATCAGATGTTCACAAGTGCCAGATTATTCTGTGACCCAGTAGTTATTTTTGTCTTGGTGTCTTGAACTCTGAAGGTGGCTGCCAGCCTGTGTGGCATTTTCAGTGTGAATAAGGCAAGATTTTGAAAAGCTTGCCTTCGGAAAGCTCCACGTCTGGGATCAGTTGTTTTGTCATTCATTCGTCACTCATTCAACAGGTATTTCCTAAGTCTGTTCCTCAGTATGAATTACAAGTCTCAGTACTGTGACTATCAAGTTGCATTAGCTAGTCAATGACCTATAAAGGAAATGTTACAGACCCTACATACACTTATGTACTGGGTCAGATGGGAACGGAGGGCTGGGATGTCAGTTCTAACTAGGAATTGGAGAGTCAAGAAAGTTTTTATAGGAGAGGTGATTTTGAAAGATGAATATATTGTAGGCAATGTGGGAAGGACCAATGTTGCAGGTGAGGAACCTGCCTGTGCACATGCCTGGCAATGTGAAGGTCTCGGTTATTTTAGGAGACGGCCGGACAGGATGCTAGGCATCTGGGCTTCATTCATGGTTCTTCCATTAACTCATTACATTCTATTTAGCAGATCCCACTGGGGCCCTGCTTTCTCCTCCAGCTGACTTTGATTGTAAAAACTCAAGTTACTTTTTTTCTTTTTAATAATATGCTTTTTTAGAGGAGTGGAAGCAGCTAATTTATGTCCATTGCTGACTATTCCAAGGATTATTCCAGGGGCTCTGCATACATGATGTCATGGAATTCTCCGGACTGCCTTGGGCATCCTCAGCTCCCGTTAGCAGTGTTTAGTGAAGTGAAGTTTCCATTGTCACAAAGCTGTTAAGGACCATCTGAATACAAGGCTAGTGCACATCATTCATTCATTCACTCAGCGAACATTTCGGGGCTACCTTTTATCCGTCTGGAATAGATTTACTATCAGACCTTTCCATCTTCCATTTAGCTGGCCATCGATCCCAGTGGCCTGTGGTGTATTTAGATGATTGCTTGTAGAAGTCTCATGGCATCCAAATGAGAGAGACCACGTGGTGTGTGCTTTGGTTTTTCCATCTTCATGGTTTGAGCTAATCGGGCAGTAAATGTCTGGGAAGCATTTGGGGATTAGCACAGGTCAAAGGGCCTGTGGTTACTTAACCCAAATGGAATAATTTCATGAACTTTTATAATCCAGCTGAGTATACAAAGTGCAGAGGGCCCCTGGATTTCCTGGACCCACAGAAGTTGATTATTGTTCCATATTTTTACCCATAAAGGAGTATCATAGGAATCCGTGGTGGCCAATATCCCGGTCTCTGACAGTGGATGGCATTTACCTTTATTAACAAACTAAAGAAGGTCGGGGGCACTATTTGAAAATCTAGAGTGTGGGGCGATGGTTACTTTTCTTTCAGCTCAGGTGTGTCTGCCCTTGGAGCCTGCAGACCCAGGTTCTTATCCTGTTTTTGCCTTTACTCCACTCTGTGACCTTATATTGGTCCCTTCCCCTTGGCCTCAAGTTCCTCATCCTTTTATTGTCCTGGCTCAGTTCTACTGGCTCTAAGGTCTTCCCGAGTTCCAACACTCAGGCGTGTGCTGCTTTGAATATTCTCACATGGAAAGATAAATATACATCTGACCCCAGCAGAATACTGACAGAGAGGTATCCTCTTTGCCCTTCAGTGTTCCACCATCCTTGAAGATCTAATAACTCTAACTACAAAAATAAGAGGTAATATTTGGTGATCTCTATAAGCTCCTACCATAAGGTTATCATTTAACACACTTAATTCTCTCTGCAAATTGGAGAGGTGAGTATTAACATGTCCATTGGGTAGATGAGGGCTCCGAAGTGTAGCATGGTAAAGTCTCAAAGTTACAGACATGAAAGAGCAGAAATAAGGACATATTATCTCTGTTAAGTCAGCTCTCAAGAAATTCATTTGGCCGCCACCAGGAGTCAGGACAATCAATGCTCTCTCTCGTGGGGATCTGCATTTTTAAACATCATCTTTGATTCTGTCTCTTTAGAGAGGAATTTCAGGCATCAGCAAGGACATGGGGTGGGTGACGCATCCAGGCTTAGCACAGCCGTGGTAGACACAGATTTGTGAAGTGAGTCAGAGTAGGCTGGATGTTCCCAGGTCACAGGACATGGGAGCAGAAGCAGACGCTAGAGGTTCCATGCTTCAGCCCTTTTGTTTTGCCACCAAGAAGCAGAGCCCCAGAGGTGAGGGTGCTCACCCCAGAGCCCACAGCCGTCTGGAAGCAGATAAGGGCTGAGTCCGACCTCACATTTGCTGGTGCAGGGACTCTCCCCCAGGCCTGCTTGTCCTTTATGGGAAGACGTGTAAGACTGCCGATCAGTGCATTGTGGCAAAGCCAGGGTCTTTGATGTCGCAGGGGCTGGAGAAGAAATACCCATGCGTAAGACGCTTCCAACACGAGAACTGTGGGGCTCTGATGCTCAGTCTGGAGTTATGTTTGACTTATGCAGAAGAGCAGACCCTTTCTAGAAAGAACTAGAAAGAGGCATCTCATGTGAATGTGAAACCAGGACACCACTGGAGCAGGCATGTCAAAGCTCAATCCTTTTTAACTCCAAAGAGCATTTTCCTTCTGAAAAAGACAACCTAAGTGACAGGCAGGAAGCTGGTCTTCATCTGTTTGCAGCATGTCTGAGCACCTGAGCCCGAGCAGCCCGGCCTCCCGAAGGACCATCGGGGGGGAAGGAGAACTCCCCATGCCACAGGCGAGGCACCTGGGCCGCACAGGAGCTAGGTGACCTTGCTCAAGGTCTCACAACCAGTCCGATGATGGAGCTAGCCTAGAAATCCTATCTTTTCCTTCCAGAGCTCTTTTTCTGCCCCGAACCATTCTGAGGTACCAACGAACTTGCGGTGCTGAACACGACATGTATCTCTGTCTGGGCAGCTCTGAGAAGGTTGCTGCTTTCCTTTTCAAGGACATTCTAAATGTTTTCATCAGTAGCTGACAGGACCTTTTTAATTTTCACCCAACCATCAACTTTTTGTAAAAGATGAATAATGCTTAGTGGCCTTCTTTCATCTTCTTTGGTTTTTAACCTCTCGACTTGGGACTGTGAGACGGGTTTTGTCACTCAGCATATTCTAGTTCCCAGGGGCCACCGAGTTTCATGGTAGAGTCTCTTTGTTGGTCTGCACGGTGGCTGTGTGGCAACCTCGCCTGTATTTCCTGAGAAGAACAGGACTCAGGGGCCCTGGGATCTCTTGGGGGCCATGTTGCTGGCAGCCTTCACTTTTGGTCCTAATCAAGAGGACCTAATCCATAGGTATTTCAATAGGACTAAAGCTTCTTCCTCTCTTGACAGCATCGAAGAGTTAGAAACAATGGGTTGAATTTGAAAGACTTTTGAAAAGTTAGGCGACGGCGTCTGTGTCTGTTCTCTGATCCTTAATGCATTGGTCCTATGATGGGGGGCGGGGCATAGAAGAGACATTAGGAAGCACTGCTTTATTAAACTTCAAATCACCAGACACTTCTTTTGCACTCTATTTTTTTTTAATTAATTAATTTATTTATTTATTTTTGGCTGCGTTGGGTCTTTGTTGCTGCGTGCGGGCTTTCTCTAGTTGCGGTGAGCGGGGGCTACTCTTCGTTGCGGTGCGCGGGCTTCTCATTGCTGTGGCTTCTCTTGGTGCAGAGCACAGGCTCTAGGCGCACAGGCTTCAGCAGTGTGGCACGCGGGCTCAGTAGTTGTGGCTTGCAGGCTCAGTAGTTGTGGCTCGAGGGCTCTAGAGCTCAGGCTCAGTAGTTGTGGCGCACAGGCTTAGTTGCTCCACGGCATGTGGGATCTTCCTGGACCAGGGCTCGAACCCATGTCCCCTGCATTGGCAGGCGGATTCTTAACCACTGTGCCACCAGGGAAGCCCCTCTTTTGCATCTGTCTTCTCTCTCTCAAGGATGTGCTTCTTGTTCCTTGATGATCTTGAAAGTGATAGAAGGTGAAAGCATTACGTAGTGATATTGACTGTGCCCCACGTGGTTCAGAAAGAGACCTGCCTCTGGGCTGACTTCTTATGCACAGATTTTCCATTCTGAACCATCTGTAACTCTTGAGTCCATGGCCATCCATGGGAACATTCTTAATGGCACTGTCATCACCGCAAGTCCAGTTTCCCACAAGTGGCTTTGCAGACATCATATACAAATGACACCCAATGTTCTATTAACCCTGACGCTAGGGTGCCTTCTGCTTCTGTGTTGAATCAGCAGCACCTCAGATTCTTCTGCTCCTGTTTTATTTGTTTATTTTTATTTTATTTATTGTTTTATTTGAGCTAGATTCAAATTCTGGCTCTACCACTTATTAGCTACCTGATTAAGTCATTTCATGCTTCTGAGCTGTGCTTTCTTTCCTCAAAGCAGAAATAATAATTGCATCTCTGTAGGGTGGTTGTGAGAGTTCAGTGAGATGATTCTGTGACTCACAGGGCAGGGCAGGCACTTACTAATCAACAACTGCTCCTAGAGTCATTGATAAAATGGTACCGTTATGGGGGAGCAGTTCCCAGAGAATGGAGAATGCAGTAACCATTTCCATGAAGGTGGAGCCCTTGTGACGGAAGGGTTCAGATTTAAGCCACTTCCTCCTCTTTCTTTTCTTTAATTATAATCACTGGATCCGTATTATGAGGGCGCCTGACAGGTCAAGTACATGTGGTGTGGAACCTGATGCTCATAAGGGCTAGAAGGTTGACGAGATGTACCAAAGGCAAGGTGGACAGAAACACAGGCAGGGAGCGAGGGATCCTGCCCCAACAGGCCTGGACCGGCCACTG